AAGTTGCCCGTTCCTATCTAACCTGTATACAGAGGGAATAGAATTGATACTTGAAGACTCTTTCCCTCTCTGTTGGTATTCTGAGCTACTACATCCATAGGTCAAATTCATCAAATTGTAGCAATTTACCCTCATTTCCATTATCAAAAAAATGAAATTTTTTTATTGTCCTCTAATCAAGTTTTGACTATCAAGTTATCAAGGCTAGGTCAAATGGATACTACCTGCAAGTTTGGGTGTTCTTGTGAGTCTCCCCTCACTTCATATCTGCTGGATGTTTCACTCTCAGCTCTAGCCCTCCATGGCTATGTCCTTGTCCATTGGAGTGTGTCCCCAGGTCTCACCACACTTTGGATCAACCAGCCCTTCCTCATCTATCATCTCCAGTTCGGTGGGAGTCAATCTAATGTGGATGAACTCAGCCCATTTCATCATTGCTGCCTTTCTCCCTCTTATACTCACCGATTGGTCACCAGAAAGCTTACATGCCTGTTCATGTGTTCCCTTTGAGTTTCAGTCTTACAGGGGAGTTTTTCCTGAAGGAACTTGATTGCTTGTTTTGATGACTTCCCAGCGAACAGCTTGCTTATTCTTGAAGTAGCCAATCATACTGCCATTATTGTTTTGGGGTTTTCCTGCTGATCTTTTTTTGAAGATGTATTTTTGTTGCTCTAGCTGTTCTGGGCTGGTCTACTTGTCCTTTCTAATTGGAATGTCCCACCTCAGAAAGTTCTTGATTGGGCTCAGGATTCTACCTAAGGTCCTATATACTGCAAAGGCTCTGCAAGAGGCCTATTTCACTGGGCAAGTTGTAGAACCCATTTTAGGTATTCCAATTAGCTATAGGCTGAAGACAGGCTTACAAGCTTTCTGTAATCATGTTTCCCAACATTCCTTTCTATCCCACTCAAGTATCTATTTTACAATAGTAGGGAAGGGAAACCAGTATTCATAAGACAGTCAAGCATTTTAGTATTATTTCCCCTCTTTAGACTATGCCTTGATCTATGTATCACCTAGTCCTGTAAAGACAGCTTTTTAAATGTTTAAAATTTTCCAAAAAAAAAAAAAACCCCACAAGGTATGGGATAACATGTCCTTTCCCTTGTCTCAATGATGGTGTGTTTACAACTTTTGTGTGAAAATGTAAGATCTTTCTAAGGACCTGAAGTGAAGCATAAATGTTTGTAGGAGAGTGTGCACCTACAGGCAGATATCTATGGGATACACACGCAGCTTTCCTGCCTACAAGAAACAGACAGGGGAATGATTAGGGTTATGCCCAAAGGTTTATGTGCACGAATGTTCATCATGATGCCATTTGTAATAGCTACAGATTGGAAACAATCTCAATGCCCTATAGTAAGAAAATGATTGAATAAAGTATGGACATTCATATAATAAAATAATATTTCTATTAAAAATCATTTCCCATGATAATGCAATTCAATGTATAATCTTATATCATCCTTGGATTCTAGAATTTTTTTTAAAAAAAGGAAGAATAAAAAATAATAAATATAGCTCTAAAGACAATTGGGAATTTTTGAATACAGACTACTTGCTAAAAAAAAATATTGTAACATTGTATTGAGTTAATTTTAGGGTACAATCAATGTATTTGAAAACGTGCACAATCTTGCAAAATATAAGATTGTGTATTTCAGGATTAAAAAAAGCCATACTTTCAATAAGCACTTAATATTGTGAATGAAGTTCACAATACAACATTGATATTAATTTATTTAAAATATATATGCTTGGGAAAGACAAACTTGAAAAATACACACCAAAATGTTAGTGCTGGTTATTTCTGTGTGGTAAGATTACCTGGAGGTTTTCTTTTCTTTTCACATTTCAACGTTCTTCCATATTTCTACTGTGACTTGTCTATTATTTTGACCTCATTCCTCTAAAGTATACAACAGGGAGGAGTCCAAGAACATGGAAGGGTTAATTGGGTACATTCTTCAATTAGTCTAAGAAAACCTTGTGAGAAAATCCAAGGTAAGAAAAGGTAACTCTAAACTCAGTGTGTTACAGTTCTGTTATTGGTGGAGATGTGTTAAAATGGGTAAATGGATAAAGATCTCATCTAACTACTTGCTGAGACTTTATTGGAAAATTAGCTTCCAGTGCTAAAAATGTGTAATATTTTTAAGGTACTCAAAGAAAACTTTTTAAAAATTAATCAAACTGCTACAAAGCAATACAGAAGATCATTCTTGATGTCTTCTAACTTATTCCTTCTGCTTTAGCCAATTGTGGACAAGTAGAGAAGCAATGACTAGTAATCCTCAATTCTATTTTGGTAGTGTCCACTAGACAAGAGTCTTCTTGTGACTTGTTACCTCTTGGGGAAATTGTCCACCCAGGAAAGGGTAGGAGATAGAGCTTTGGGAAAGAAAGGAACTGAGAGGATGAAGAAGAGAAGGGATAGCTTGAGGAAGGGTGGAAGGTCCTATGTGAGATACTATTCACATATGAGGAAATGTCTGTTTCAAGCTCTGAATGTGACCCAGGACCTTGAATTCTGAAGGGATAAGTTTATCAAATAAAGGAATGCACCTCAAATTTTTCATCTCAGCTAGTCTTTCTCAAATTCCTGCTACTATATCTGGTGTGGCACTGTAGGATAAATACTAGACCTCAAGGTCTATAGTTCAAACCCACCATCTGCTCTGGGAAAATGATACAGGGTCACTATGAGTTAGAACCAACTTGAGAGCACACACCAACAAAATATCTGGCATGGAGTTTATATTTAGAAACCTTGAGAGAAAATTTTCCTGCCACTTTTTCATGGTTATTTTTGGGAACTCAGAGGAGTAAGGACAGATTCTATCTTCCACACATTCAGTCAGTGGCAGGCTCAGTGTGGATGATGACACAGTGAAAAAAAACTACTTTTTGTTCAGCTCAACTCCTTTGAGACAAAGGAAAGGATTAACATCTGAATTACAGTATGATTAAATGTAACAAATTATAAATTAAAATGTACTACTTTGGGGATCATTTTTAAATGTACTATTTTTGAGATCATTTGCCAATTTTTTTTTTTTTCTTTTTAGGAATTGAGGATGATATACTTCAAATATGTTTAGAGTTTGCTGTTTATGGTTTGATTGTTGTTTTAACTTTTTGAAGTGAAAAATAAGAAATAAAATATATTTCACAAAAGATTACATGGGAAACAAAGAAGTAACACAACACTCATCCAAAGATGGTATTTGTTTCTTCTTCTCTGCAGTATTCTGATTCTAATTGTATATGATGCCTGGGTGAAAATGCAAATAGTCAATACTTAGAACAAAAGAGGCAGTATCTGTAGTCACAAGCCTTGTTCAGACTTGCTTTTCTGTCTTTGAAGGTGTAAGACTGAAAGGTATGAGATTGAAAGAGAAGATTTAAATTTATGAGAAGGGTAGAAGGACAAAGAAAAACCTCAAATATTTATTATCTCCTATAACCTTGTATTGGACTCCTGGTATGGCACTGAAGAATCAGCACTGGACTGCAAACCACAAGGTAGGCAGTTCAAACCCATACCTTCTCCCCAGAAAGCCTAAACAGGATCACTATAAGTGAACTTGACTGACAACATAACCTTGTATGCTGATTGCCAAGTTCAATTATGATTTTCTAGCTGAAATTCTCCAATTTATACACAACATTCTGTGATACTAGCATAGTGGTTAGGAATCGGGCTGTGAACCTCATAGTCAACAGTTCTAAACTACCAGCTGTTCCACGGGAGAAAGATGAGGCTTTCTGCTCCATAAAGATTTACAGCCTTGGAAACCTTGTAAAGGGTTGCTGTGAGTCGGAAGCGACTCCACGGCACATAACAACAACAACAACAACAACCTTGTATGCTGATTACCAAGTTCAATGACCATTTTCTAGCTGATATTCTCCAATTTATAAACAAAAATCTGTGATACGTATTGCTTTTTCTAACAATCTCAGTCAAGTGTGGTGACCGCATCTTGTCTGTTTTCTTGTCTGCCTTATGACACTGATTTATCTGAGTGACAGAAGTGAGACACAAAATGACCTTGTGATGAAAAACCCCAAACAATGTAGCCCTAGATCACTAAGAATTGGGAGCCATGAGGGTGCATCTCAAACACATATCAGTCAAAAGAAGCTTTACTTACTTCTTCACAAACCCTGGCATACTGAGATATAAAGGAGATTTGCTTTGGCCTTCCTGAGATTAAAAATATCTTCTGTTCATAACAAATACCATAAGCACAGAAAAAAAAAGCCTTATATATAAAACTCCATCATCTCACTTAATGTCCATAGGCCTGATACACTTAAATTGAATAAAAAATTTTGTTCTTTTGTCTTTGAACATATTAACAAACAAATAGAAGGCCCCAGACTCTTGTGATTATGCTAACATGCATGAAAGTCTGGCAGTCACATATTTGCAGCTTTCTGAATATAGAAGCTTTCCTGAGTACAAAGATTATGGGCACCATGAGATCAGAAACAGAGTGACTTTTTCTGAAAAGGTTGAGCACTGAGTCTTTCTTACCCACTCTAAAAGGAGAAACCATGCTTATGTTGTGGGGTGATCCAGATTACTTCAACATGGACATGCAATAAAGGCGCAGTCTTAAAGCACAATTTTAGAATCAAATAAATAATACACTTGAAAAAAATGACATATATTTATAAAACTGGCCTAAGGTGGTGGGATTCAGGTTAATGGGGGATAGTTTTATCTCTTTCCTTTTAGTCACTAGCATATAGGGTCGTATAGATAATGAATTTGATGAAAGGCCCAGAACGCAATCAGCTTGCTCCTCATTGGTGTTGATTGTCTAAATTGGCTGCTACTGTGGACTGTAGTTAACGGAAATTCTTTTGCCAGGAGGGCTTTTCTTTTGGTTCATCTGATGTAAATACTGTCAACACATAACTCTTTAATTAATAGTCATCTGTTAGTATTAGACATCATCCTCAGAGAAGGTTCAGGGGCATCTCCATCAGACATGACTATACGGTGTGCAAATAGTAAGAGGGTCTGTGTTTGTCCCTTCATTTGGTAGACAAGGGGAAAAGATAGGTCTGAGAGCTCCTTCAAAAGAGGCTGGAGGGAAACTATAGATGAGGGACTCATCTGTCCCATTGTAGAATGCTATATGTCCAGATTCATAGTCTAAAAAAACACCAACCTTATGTACAGGCTCTCTGACATGTTGACCTTTTAAAGGAGATGAGACCCAAAGACTATAATCATCTCCAATCTTTAAACCAATAAGTGAGTAGAGGTCCCCTGGGGGCTTTGGAAGGTTCCCCTTTCTACTCATTGAGTCCTTGCAGATGCCCACTTCCCACTCTGTCTTGTTTCCCACTTCCACCTCCCAATAGTGTCTCCCACAGGTGAAGATTTGAGCGCCCAACACAGTTGCAGACTGGTCAAATCTTTCTGGGTTGTCAGGTAACTGCTGTCTGATCCCTCCATGTGTAACACTTTTCAGATCATCAGAGAGGACTAGATAGGCATTGGCTGTGTCTGGATCCAGAGTTATGTCCACTGCAAAAGGAAGAAAGAATAAATTCTCATTTGGCATTTTTCAGGGGCGTGAGGAATTGCATACATGTACAATGTAAATTAAATGCTCAGTATTTAGTCCTATTTTAAAATTTAATTTAGGTAGTATGATGAGTTTTGTTGTTTTGTTTATAATGGAATCTCTGTTCCTTCTTTCATTGTTTTAAAAAGCATAAATAGGAAACCTCTAGAAGGAAAACAAGAGAGTCGTAAGGAAAATGATGTTTAACCAATCTGGGGAAATTTCTGGTAATAGGGGAAGATGTTTCTCTTAAATGACAATTTTGGAACTCTAATTCTTTATCAACACAAAGCATGCCCTTTTTATTTATATTCCCTATGTTAGTCTAAGGAGCTCTGTCTGATAGAATAATGGTTACAGTAGGGCTGCTAACCTCAAGGTCAGCAGTCTGAAATTACCAGCTTGTTCCACAGGACAAAGATGAAGCTTTCTGTTCCTGTAAAGATTTACAGCCTTGGAAACCCTATGTGGGGTGCTGTGAGTTGGAACCAACAGCACACCACCACTTTAGGCTAGGTTGGTCCTGAGTCTACAATTTAGATGGGAAAGAAATATAGACAATTATTACTAACTGCCTAATGTTTTCTTTATATTAGTTCATTTAATAATCACAAGTATTATTCATAGCTTTTCTCATTTTTATGTAAGAGAAAACTGAGTTTTATCAATGTTAGTAAATTTGACCAAATATAAAGTTTCTGTGTGTTTGAATAGCAATTCCTGATCAGCACTTTTTTCATTGTATCATGATTAAAGGAAACTTCCTAAGACTTGTTGTTGTTACATGCCATCGAGTCGATTCTGACCCATAGTGAACTTGTATAAGGTTTCCAAGGAGCAGTTGGTAAGTTTGAACTGCTAACCTGGTGGTTCAAATTGACTTTGCAATACAGCGCATTAACCCAAAGTGCTACACAAGAACTGCTAGAGTTAGTAACACCTTTAATGGCTATGGATGAAGGACATTATGAAAAGGTGAATGCCTCCTTTACCACCTCCTGATGTTGTTGTCATTGTTGTTAAGTGCCGTCGAGTCGTTTCTGACTCATAGCTGTTGAGTTTGAACTGCCGACCTGGCGATTCAATCTGACCTTGCAGTCCAGCTCATTAACCCACAGTGCCACACCCGGACACTTTAAAGACCTCCAACTTCCACTGATCGTCCAGACATATTAGTTGCCCCTGTAATATAACTTCATACTTTTATTTATAGATCAAATAAAAATGACAAGTTATCTATGTAATTAATGTCTGTCTTCTCAATTTCAGCAAAAAATATACAAAAGTAAAGGTATGTGTGTCTTATTCACCACTGTAAATAAGCCCAGAGCCTAGTAGATAGTCCTGGTGTGGCACTGTGGGATAATGTACTAGACCAAAAGGTCAGTTTGAACTTCAAGGTCGTTGGATCAAATTCACCAGTCGCTCCTCAGAAAACCTATACAGGATAGCTATGAATTGGAACCAACTGGATGGCACATAACAACAACAACAATAACAACAAGGCACACAGAGGTACTTATGTAGTATCTGTTGAGTCTTTCTTCTGAAGGTCAGATTATTAAGAAGATAAAAGTGGAGAGTCAATGCTAATCTCTCTTGTGCTTAGTATTCTAAAAGAATAGTTTTTTGGAAGTGCCTTCATTGGTATTCAAGAGTTCAAGTCAGCTTTTATGCTAACAAGATAGAACTAGAAATGCAGAACCCCCTGCAGTTGTATGTGTGTATGTGTGTATGCATAAATATGTATGTGAGTGTGTGTATGTGTGTCTAAGAGGAGTGAAGAAGAGGACAAAACAGAACAATAAAAACAAAGAAGGATCAGGACTCCATAGACAGCAAATTTAAGCCAGAGAAAGTATCAACCAAGTCTCATTTCTCCTCTTTGCTTAAACACAGAAATAGACTATGGCCCCAACCTTCCCAGTGTTTAGTGCTGACTCAGAACAACTTGCATGAAAGCTGGAACACAGATAGCCAATATTTGATACTAGAAGAAGATGCCTAAAGGCTCAAGTTGGATCCCTTGACATAAACAGTTAACTCTAAAACTTCCTGGGGGCTTGAAAAATCAGGTTGACTTACTGCTGAATTTTCTTAGCATTTCCCTCATTCCTGTGACTCGGCACAGACTCAGTTCAGTGGTAGTGGCCTCTGGGCACTGATGCAAGAATGTTTCACTTCTGCAAGAGGGCAGAGACAGTTATTCTCTCTCTGGCACTTACCATGCAATCTGCTCCAATTTGAGAGTATATTTCATTTTTCTACAACATAGAATTCCTGTCCTTACTCTAATAGCACTAAATCTTTATATCTCCCATAAGAACACAAAATGGAAACTTACCTTTCCAAGGTTTCTCTTACTTCCTAAGGGTATAAAGTAAAGAAAATTTAGTATTTGCATACTTTGATCACTAAGCAAAAACTAAATTTATATAGACTATAGTATTTTGTAGACTATACCATGGTCCTAGAACACCTTCAATGGGAGAACAAACAGCAGTAAAAAAATCCTCCATTTCTTCTAGGGATGGTTCTTGGTGAACCTAAGATATTGTTCCCAATGACTAGAGAATATTATGGCCTCTTCTTTTTTTTACATGTCATCATGCAATCTCTTCTTGACAAAAGACCCAAATTGTGAGTCACATTATCCAATGTCTCAGTAACCAGAGATAAGCAATGGGAAATGGCACAACACAAGCTAAGACTTACCCTATATATGGTTGACGGCGTTGTTTAGAAGGTACTAAGTTAATCCAATCAATATGGCAGATCGGGTAGACATGCAGTGAGGAGCTCCATCACCAACAACACAGAATACCGGGCCAAGCAGGCTCAGGAGATGGTGCTACAACTCTGAACCACATGTAAAGCTATATATAGAAGATTGGAAGGCTTATAGCTAGGGAAATTTGTAGCAGAATCAAGAAATCCATTGCTTTCTAATTCAAGATGCTCAGCTATTCCCAGAGCTGCCATCTTGGGAGAGAACAAGCGGGGGAAGGATCAGAACAGTCATGAACGTCTGACAGAACCGCAGAGATTCAGATGTGGACATTCATTGTTTGGTATCTGTTCATTGGTCTCTCGCTGTCTGTGCACTTCCATTATAGTGACAAGAGGGGATGCCTGAGCGAATGGATACCCCACCCCCACCCCTGGAAGGTTCTGCTGCGCATGCTCACAGATCTCCTCGAAATTTAAAGTGACAGTTTCCACTTAAAACCAAACGGCCACCACTCATCTTGTCGTACTGTGGTGGCTTGTGAGTTGCTATGATTTTGAAAGTTATGCCACCAGTATTTTAACTTACCAGCAGGGTCACCCATGGTAACAGGTTTCCGATGAACTTCCAGACAAAGACTAGGAAAAAAGAGTGACAAACTACTTCTGAATCTTTAGTCACTGAAAACCTTATGAATACCAGAGAAGCACTGTCAGATATAGTGCCGGAAAATGAGCCCCTAGGCTTGGAAGGCACTGAAAATGCGACTGGGGAAGAGCTGCCTACTCAAAGTAGAGTTGAATGTGATAATGTGAATGGAGTAAATCTCATGGGAGAAAAGCCCACAGGACCTTCATTTGCTGATGGGGCACAACTCAAAATGAAGAGAAATAGCTGTACATAACCACTCAAAATTGGAACATGGAATGTACAAAGGATGAATCTGGGGAAATTGGAAGTTGTCAAAAATGAAACGGAACGCATAAACATTGATATCTTAGGCATTAGTGAGCTGAAATGGACTGGTATTGGCCATTTTGAATCTGACAACCACGTGATTTACTATGCCGGGAATGACAAATTTAAGAGGAATGGTGTTGCATTCATTGTCAAAAAGAACATATCCAGATCAGTCATGAGGTACAACACTGTCTGTGATAGGATAATGTCCATGCGTCTACAGGGAAGCCCAGTTAATACCACTACTGTTCAAATTTATGCACCAACCACAGCCAGTG